ACACACAAATCTTTATTTGTAAAAATGCTAACCAGCATTTTCTCATACTAACAAATACTGGAAACAACCTAAGTCAAAACTCCAGGAGACAGTGAAATATATTACACTATGTACATGAAACAAATGTAGCAATTGGGTACAATCATTCTGAATAGTTTTAAATGACTTGGAAAATACTTGTGTTATAATGTTAAAGGATGGAGGAAAGATATAAAATTGTAGGCATAACATTATTCCAGATATAAAATGAACATACTATGATTGATTTAAATTTTCAATACCAGACAAAATTGAAATCATGTGTTAGGTATGCATTTAGTGATACACACTTAGGTGATGAACTGTCATGAAGGGCAAGGGAAATAATTATAATGACAGCCACATATTCCTGCTCACTTGGGGAGGAAGATTATAATATAGTGTGGTCTTCGGTTTCCTCACCCAGTTAATGGGAGTTCATTTTGTAATTCTAAATTTTCACATGTATAGTCTCTGCCCTCACACACGGGTGTTATAGTTCACAGTTCAAAATATTGGAAATTATGAGGAGGTAAGCTAATTTTATCTATTTTAAAAAGATTTATTTTTATGCATACAAAAACTGGGGTCTAGGCCAGAGGTGCAGGGGGTGAGAGAATTCACCAGAGAGAGAGTGGGAAGCAGAACAGGTGGATCCACTGAAACCCATGCTGAGGGGAGCAGCGGGGAAACAGGAGAGGTCCGCTGCGCCTTGTGGATCAACTCCTTGCCTGGGGATCAAACTCAGGCCACAGTGGCTGGCAATAGCTTGATAGTGCTGAGACTTTAACTCCTGCACCACTAGGAAGACACTAAAAGTGTTTATTTTTTTATGAAAAAAATCACAGTTCACTGTTCCTCCTTTTATTTTATTCTAATGTTGAAATATTCTACAATGTACACAACTCCCTTTCAGTTTCAGAACCAGTCAACCAAAGCAAATTTAAAACTTGGTGCAATCATTGGTGCAATTAACCCCCTGCTCCTTGGCAGGTGAAAAGTAACCATAGGATTTTTTTTTTAAGAAAGCCTTAAAAATTCTGTTGCAGTTATAGAAAAATTTCTAAGGGTGAAAATATGGTCTTCCTGATAGTAAAGCAGGTGTGAGAAGAGTAGCTGCATATCAGTTAATGACAAGGTCACCTTCTTGTTTTGTTTTGTTTTGTTTTTACTGAGGGAGGTATCATAAGGACAATCTATAAATCTTTATTAACCCAACTATGAAAGGTTCCAGCAATATAAGGTGGGGTTAGAAAAGATTATCAGCCAGAGGTGGGGGCAGAGAGGATTATCAAACAGAACCCATTCTTACCCCAAGGCAATAATTTCCACAATAATTCCATCAAAGAACATTAGGAAAGAACACCCCTTACCCTGGCAAAATGCAGCTTTTGTTCTTTCAGCGCCTATCTGTATCTATGCAGACATCTCTCTTGTTCTCTTTTCCTCAATAACCTTGTCGTGTGCTGATGAAAAGGAACATTACTGAATTATTTGTCAGAGAGATCCAAGAACCCCACCACCATACTGAACCCCATCATCTGAATTCCACCAATGGGTTTTCAATTTTTAGCTTGAACCCATTTGTCAGTCCAAATGAACACATAAGTAAATAAATCTGTAAAAAAATAAAATAAAATAAAAGCATGACCAAAACGTCATTTACATGCAGATCCTGACATGGATCCTATTGCAAACATTAAAAAGCAGCTGTTATTCAAAGTACATCACGAGAAAAATGAAGTCTCTTGGCTCTACATATAACGTTTCTCTTTGCACATTATGGTGCAGTACAATACAGTGTGGCCCAGACTGACATCCCTGAGTCTGTTCTCTGGTTTCGTAGTTAGGGGTTGGAGTCAGGCCAAGCTGCAGAGACAGGGCAGGGTACTCTCCCGTTATCAGCAGTGATGAATGAATGAGTCAAAAAAAAAAAGAACACACCCCTGCCAAACTGCAATTACAAACAGGTCTCAAATTGAGTTTCCTACCTTAGAAGAATTGATGGAGGACAGCAGTGAAAAACCTGGAAAGGGGTGCCCCAAGACTAGAACTTGACTCACACAAGGAGGTGGGGGTAGAGGGAAGCAACACGACCTTTAACCCAGCTGTAGAAATCTAGGCCTCAGGCCAGTGCCTTATCACAAGGCATAAGGCCCAAGCAGGATTAGATTGTTCTAGGGAGTGGAGCACAGGCCTGAGGGTAAAGACGGGGAGATTAGTCCATCCTGGAACCTGTGGCCCCTTCCTAGTTTTGCCAAGTTATCCAACATCTGCAACAAACAGGCCACTCCACAGAGGAGTGGCACCTCTCAAAGAGAACAGGACTATACCCGTGCTGTCTCTGCCCTGGCGAGGGGCAGCCATCTCTCTGCCCACCCGTGACTGCGCAGGTGCCTCTTTTCACCAACTCTCTCTTCATTCGGGCAGCAGCCTCCTGCCTGCCCTTGCCTCTGGCCTGGCCCACTGATACCAGATGCCGGCCTCAGTTTCCCTCCCTGGTGGCACAGCGGGTTGAGCACCACGCTGTGAACCTGTCCACAACCTCTGCAGCGTGGGTTCGATCCCCAGCCAGCCACGGAGAAACCAACATGGCACAGCAGACCTCTCCTGTCTCGCCCGCTGCTCCCCTCAGCAGTGTCATCCATCTGCTGCCTGTTCTGCTCCCTGCTCTGTCTCTGATGAATTGTCTTACCCTCCAGCACCTCTAACCTGTACCCCAGTTCTTGTATAAATAAATGAAATCTAAGGGGGGAAAAAAAGGAAACCGAGTGGAAAGTGGTTGAATTTGTGGACAAACCTGAGGGCAGCAGACTCATGTCTGACAGACCCCTGACCTGCTCTGGGCAGAGGGCAGGGGCTTTGTGCAGAGGGGAAAGAGGGGAGGCTGAGGGAGGGTCTGCAAAGGGGAGGGGAAGGGGAGGCCCGAGATGGGCAAGCTCCAGGCTGCTTGTCTCAGCTCCTGGGGAGTAGACACACCTGTCACACAAAGGGGGAACTGCCAGAGATGGGGGAGACCAACTGGTTCATTCCTCCCTGAGGGCCCCATCACTTTTAGCTGCATCAGCCGGCTCCAGCAGCTCAGACCCAACCTCATATTCATAATAAAATGCTTCTGTAGCTACACGTAGCTACACGTTTCCGCCTTTATTTTTTAGATTTATTTCTTTATGCACACAAGAACTGGGGTGCAGGCCAGAGGTGTGGGGTGAGAGGAGTCACCAGAGACAGAGTGGGGAGCAGAACTGGTGGATGGACTGAAATCCACGCCAGAAGGGTTCAGCAGGGATGATACCGGAATTGTCAGGCCCAGTCTCCCAGCCAGGAACTGATTCCAGGCTGCAGGGGCAGCGCTGAGCCCCAGCCACTAGACCCCCACAGGTTGGTGTCTCACGAAGCCGCAGCAGGAACTTCGCAGACGCTCAGGCAAGCAAGCGAGTAGAGGCAGTTTGTTTATAGAAAGAAAAAGTTTATTGAGGAGAAAAAGAGCAGAAATAAAGTGGGACTCCCAGGTCAGGGAACCAGGCCTGGGAGGGGCAAGGAAGCCAAAGTGGAGTCATGTCTCAGGGAACATAGACCTTCTTTCCCTCATTATTCTAAAGCTGCCCCAGTCTCTTTGTGATTGGTTAGTTCTCCGCTGTCTCACTCAATTTGTTACTGAGTGGGGGATCTTCACATTCCTTATCTAACAGCTTCCTCTTTTCCCATTTGTTGCATCTTTAAATTTATGGCCCAGTCTTCTGGATGGGCATCCCTGCATTGAAGTTAAACAGCTGCCCTTCTAATGTGACCATAAATTAAAACACTCTCCATTTCTCCAATCTCCGCCTCCCTTTACCACCTGAAGGAAACCAGGACCAGCATTAACAATGTTGTCCTTGGTGCTGGGATGTTTGTTTTTCCTAGTGGAATGGGTTACTTTCCCTTGGTTGTCCTTATCTCTGAAGCCTCCCTAAATTCTTCAGAGGTCCCCTCCTGCACTGTCCCTAAAACTGCCTAATTCCTAGCTTGCCCTGTGTCTCAGGGAGACGGGGAGGTCTGCTGCGCCCTGTGGGCTGCTCCTGGCCAGCCGGCGGTGGCAGTGGCGGTGGGGGCGGGGTTGAGGGGTTGGGGGGGACTCATCCTACAGAGGCTGGCCAGAGCTGGGGATCTCCATCTGTACCCCCCTTGCCCCCAGGAGGCCCACGTCATGACCTGAAAGGGTCCCCAGTTCTCACGGGGAAGCTGAGCACAACCTGAGCTGCAGGAGAGACGGCGCTGCCATGGGGATCACGATGGAGAGACTGAGCCCAGGGCAGGGTCCTGGTTCCCCGGGACAGTGCGGGGGCTCCTGACCCCCAGCACCCACTGCGCTGGCAGCAGGTGCCGGCCCAACCCGGTGCCCCCCAGGCCAGGGCCTCTCTGCCCGACCACCCTCAGCAGAGGCCACGCAACTTAAGGCCCCGCCCGGCCAGCGACCCTGAGACGCCAGGGGGCTCCAAGCAGAGCAGGGGCGCATGCACTACCCCCCCTCCCCCAGGGATCTCCAGCTGCTGCATCCACAGGACTCCCGGAACCATCTGAGCACCCCCTGGCCCTGGCCACACTCGCCGGGGGGATAGAGGGTCACCTGCAACCTCCCCTCACCCTCACACCCCCAGGAGCAGCCTGTGCCCCGAAGACGCCCTGGGTGAGGGGCGAGATGACTTTGTCAGGGAGGACACCCCTCTAGCCACAAACGGACAGTGACCGCGCCCACGGCCAGGAAATGCAAACACGCCCCCCAGACACCGCACCGGGCGCCAGCCCCAGGCAACCCGCATCCCTGATGGGGGAAAGCCCGCACCTGCCCCAGCATAGCTGAGAAGCCCAAGTGCAGCCCCAGGTGCGCCAGACCCGGCCCACCCGACCGCACAGGCGCAAAAGTGACACCGCCAGAACTGTCGGTAGGGGGCGCCAGATCCCCCCATAGGCGAAACCTCCCCCGGACCCTCTACCCTTACGTCCAGTTGCTTCGCTCCCGTTGGCGCTCTTCAGCTCCTTGCTGCCTGCAGCAACCTTTATGTTCGCAGCCCCCACCTCAATGCGCCCGCCCGTAAGCATTCCGGCCCCTTCCGACAGGTGCCCGCCCTCAGGCTGCCGACCACAGCCTGCACTCCCAAACGCCCCCTTTTTTCACTACCCTGGACTGCCACAAAGGTTTTCGGCGCAAACCCCGAAAGGAAGCAGCCGTCGCTTGCCCCTCAGTCCACACAGCCCTTTGCTGTCTCTCCACAGTCTCCACCTGGCTTTCTCCCGGCCGGTCACCCCTGCTCCACGACCCACACCGGTGAGCGGCGCCGCGGAGCGCAATCACAACAGACAGCAGAAACTGCCCCCCCCATCCATGGCACCCCGGAAGGCTGAAAGAGCAGCTCCTTTGCACGCTCCTTTGCACGCCCCTTCCCCCGCCCCCATGACCGCTCTAGACTGCCCCCCACAGCTCCGCTCCCTCCAGGGGGAACCAACTGCTCAGTCTCGGCGGCCGAGCCTTCTCCCCGCTGCGGTCTCAGCGCAGCCGCCCCCACCCCCAGCTGTGCGCACTCCGAGGTCGGAGACCCTCAGCTCTCTTGGGGGCACCCGCCCAGCCCCGGGGGTACTCACTGCCGTCCCGCCGCACCAGGTCTCATCACCGCTGCCAGGCGGCCCCTGCCTCAGGCCGGCCCTTGGCCCGTGGGCTCGGCCCGCCCAGGGAGAGCGCGCTCCCCGCGGGGCCGCTCCGGTCCCCTCCCCGCCGTGGGCTCCCCCATAGGCCCGGGCGCCACCCGCCCCCAGAGGTTCCTCGGGTCCTCACCCTCGCTCTCCAGCCAACGGGCCTCGCCCACAGGTGCTGCGAAGGGGCTCCGCTGCTCCGGGAGCCCCGCGGCTGCGTCCCGCACCTTCGGGGCTCCTGGCCTTGGCGCCCGCTTTTGGCGCGTCTGGGCGGCGTTTTGAGACTCTCCCGCCGGCTGCGGAGAACCTCCCCCAGGCCGCGTAAGGCCACCCCGACTCTCCTCTCCGGGGGCGCCCAGAGGATCCCCGCGCTCCCCGTCCCAGGCACCACGGAGAAGGCGTCCCCGCCCCAGGGTGCTCGGGAGTCCCCGCCCAGCGTCCGTGGCGGGGCCCAGGGGCGTCGGGCTCCAGCTCCCCCGCCGCTGCGTCCGCGGCTCGGGGTCCTGGGCGGAGCCCCGCCGGCAGCTCCCTCCCTCCCCTCCAGGTCTCCTGCGGCAGCTCCCGGGCGGCGTCTGCCCTCTGGGGTCCGCGGCGCCTCCCCCCGCGGGCAGAGCTTCGAGGGACGCTCACCCCAGACCTGCTCTGAGCGGGGCCCAAGTCCGTCGGCGGCCCCCGCCGTGCGCACCGTCCTCCCGCGGCGCCGGGTCGGGAGGCCGCAGAGAGGAGCGCGCCCCCCATCCCCCCACTCCCGCCTGCCAGCCTCCCAGCCCCCCAGCACCCCTGCCTGCCATGTACCTGGTAACCCCAATAAAAGACCTGCAGAAAACCACTGAGGACTCTGACTCCTCCTTTCCCCGGTCTGCTGGATCCTAGAAAACCTGCTCAGTGGCCATTCCTGCCCTACAGGGGGGCTGAAGACTGGCAGGCCCCCCTGCGCCCGGGGGATCTGGACTCTCTCTGGCGTTCCAGCGAGGCCTCCTCCTCTCTCGTTGGGGGCCCGAGCCCGCCCGGCCTCGGAGACGCCGCCTTATAAGCTCCGCCCCGGCCCCCAGGTGTGAGCCCTCGCCCGCCCCCGCGCCTCCCGCGCCCAGGGCCCAGGTGACGCCGCCGAGGCCCCGGCACCGGAACCGGAGGGGCTGCCTGGACGCAGCAGGTACCCGCTCTGGCCCTGAGCCCCACCACCGTGCGCGCCCTGGATCTCCTCGGGGCCGCCCCGCAAAGGATCGCAGCGTCTTGGTTATTTCGGCAGAGACGCTGGAAAACGAACTGACCCTCCGGTGGCTGCAAACGCGCGGGAGACCTTCCCAGCAGCTCAGGGGCTCCCCATGCCACGCCGCGGAGTTAACCTCACACGCAGCACTCCGCGTGTTCTCATCACAATCCTCCACTTTACATTTAACCAAAGTATTCCAGGGACCCAGCACATCGCCCCCCAAAATAAATAATCTCTGTTCCCATGTGTAATCCAATCCCCGGCCTATTTCAACCGCCTACACCTGCTCCCACTGGGTGAGAGCATCTTCTTCCATCTGATTGACTTTTCTCTTTGGCAGCTGTTCCTGACACTGCTCCTCGTTTTCACACCATGAAGGGCTTAGTGTGTGCCCCTGCCTGCACTTGGAGGGGAGGGGGGGCAATTTTCTTTCTTTTTTTCAAGAGTTATTTATTGTGTATACAACCACTGGGGTGTAGACCAGAGGTGGGGGGGGCGGGTAGAGGATGCACCAGAGAGAGGGGGATCAGAAGAGGCGGATCTACTGAAATACCCTGGTGAGGGGAGCAGCGGGTGAGACAGGAGAGGTCTGCTGAGCCCTGTGGGATGCTCCTGGCAGGTGAAGGATCCATCTCTTGCTGCAGTGGCTGGCAAGAGCTTGATTGCGCTTTCTTTAACCCCTGCACCCCCAGGGTTTGGATTTCATGTCTGTGCAATCATGTATGTATTTCCCTCATGGCTGCTGATCAGTTTGTTTCCCCAGACTTGGGGCTGACTTCCTAGGTGGTGTCCACCAAGGGGAATCAAATCACCATTCCTATGGCGGGTTATCAAATCACCATGACAGAAACAGGGCGATAATTCAGCTTCATTCCACTCTCCACCCCCCTACCCCCCCAAACACACACAGGCCCTATGAACTTCGCTGACAATAACCACATTTTCCATGCGGACTTTTGCGCGGGAGGCTCGCTCTGCTGGAAGCGCCCCCTGTGTCACCTCATTCACGTCATTGCCAAGTAATCGCTCCTCAGAGAGACCCCCCCCCAGGATCACTCTGTAATAGTACCCCCATAACCGCAATCTATTTTCCTGACCTTTCCTTCCTAATACCTGCTCGTCCCTGACATTTTCCCCTTGGGCCTGTCCGCTCTCCCCTTTCCTCCGAAGCTCAACAGCCTCGCTTGCTTCTAGAGTCCCTTTTTCTAGGAATTTTACTTTTTTTCCTCACCTGCTAAGTCAACGGAGGATATTTGTCTTTGTCATTCTCACTTGCTTTCCAACAAAGTGCTGGAGGGCAGGGTGAGGACACCCCATCACCCCCAAACCTGCCTGTTCTCAATAGGTTCTGCTGTCCAGTGCATTGAGACAAGACATCCGCTAGAGTGTGAAGCCTTTCGTGGAAAGGAACTTTAATACAATTCGTGTGCAGTGAAGAAAAGGGGATAAATGCGGTTTCCAAATCCAGCACCCAGGGTTCCCCGCCCTCCCATGGGGAAAGGCCCAGCCCAACAGGGTTGTCCCAAAGCAGGGCCACTGAAGCCCAAGAGCTGCATCAAGTCAGAAAAGGGTCCAAGAGAGCCAGAACCCCCCACCCTGGGCGCCGGGGCAGAGGTCACTCCATCCATGATCCAGTGCCCCCTCCTGTGCTTCTGGGCTGGGCATCATTTCCAAGCCCCATGTTCACACTGGCAGGTGTGTGGGGTCTGCTCAGCTGTTGTCCATGGGGCCCGACCGCTGCTGCATTTCAGGAGTTGTAGAGTGTTCTCTCCTGGACCCCCTCACAGCACTCAGGCGGCGCCTCTCCTGCAGCCAGCCCATTTGATCCTTCCTAGAATAAGGATGGCCAAATTATCTGCCCATGTCTACAGCGGTGGGGTCTCTTCTCTGAGAAGTGACCACGGCGCTCCTTCCCACTGTGGATAGGGGTCATTGCTTTCATTGCTCTTGTGTGAATGTGTCTGTGTCAGTGCTGCAGATGAAGCCCTGGTCAGGCACAGGGTGTGCAAACACTTTATCCCTTTCTGGGGGTTGCCTTTTGTGTGTGTGATTTTTTTTAAGATTTATTTCTTAATGCATACCAGAACTGGTGTGCAGACCAGAGGTGTGGGGCGGGGGTGGGGGGTGGTAGAGAGGACTCACCAGAACAGGTGGATTGCCTGAAATACACAGCTGAGGGAAGCAGCAGGGAGGCGGGAGAGGTTGACTGCACGATGTGGATAGCTCCCTGGTAAGCAGGGGATCGAACTCGCACTGCAGTAGCTGGGGAGAGCTTCACAGCAGAGTCTTTAGCCCCCGCGCCACTAGGAAGGCCCACTTTTTAAAAATAAAAAGATTTATTTTAATTTATTTATGCATACAAGAACTGGGGTACAAGCCAGAGGGGCGGGGGGTGGGGTGTGTGTGTGAGAGGATTCACCAGAGACAGCGTGGAGAACAGAACAGGCAGAATGACTGAAATGCACTGCTGAGGGAAGCAGCGGGTGAGACAGGAGAGGTCTGCTGTGGCATGTGGGTTGCTCCCTGGCTGGGGATCGAACTCATGCTGCAGTGGCTACGGATGGCTTCATAGGTTGTGTCTTAACTCCTTCATAGGTTGTGTCTTAACCCCTTACAACACTTAAAGACATGCTTTTTAAGTTTGTATGGATCTCACTTGTTTAGTTTCCCTTTGGACAAACAGAGAAGGGAGGGGTGAAGCTAGAAAATGTGGTCCATCAAGGGCGGCATCAGGGTGGAGAGTCTGCCCACAGGCGCTTCTCAGCTGCAGGAGTCCGGGGCGCTGTCACGGAGATCATGGCCTCTGTCTTATCAGCAAGGCATTGCACAGGTGCTGAGCAGCTTCTGTGGAGCCTTGACCTGCACAGGTCCTTGGCCCCTGGAAGGGAGTTTCCCCAGGAGCAATCTGGACATGAGCTCAGGGGACATGTTTTGTATTAAAAGATGGATTCATTGATTACGTTTATATAATTATGATTACCAATTTAATTGAGTAAAGAACAGTTAACTCAATTATTTTGCAATGTACAGTAGGGTTCTCTTCCTTCAATGGAGATTGAGCCCATTGTAGAATCTCTGGTCCCTTTCAAATTCTACATAGTCATCCAAAATTAGCAACCAACTGACAGCTCACAAGGAGTGACCCCTCCCAAACAGAAGAAGACTATATCAGTGCACGGGCTGGGGGGGCAGCATCCCATTTCCCACCTGTGACTATGCAGGTGTCCCTTTTCACAAACTCTCTCCCTCTGCAGGGCAGCAGCCTTCCTGCCTGCCCATGACCTGTCAAGGCCACCTGTCTGCAACCATGCAGGCCTCTTAGCAAACCTGTCCTGTCCGTTTTGTGACAGCTCTTCCTGCCCACTTGTGTCTATGCAAGTGTCCTTTATTCCTCTGTCCCTTTCCCTAATAACCTGTTCTTTAAATATAACTAACGTCTCTGTCTCGTGGAGAAACTTGCCTGGGAAACTCACCCGTGTCCCTGAAATGGGAGCTCCGGTGAAATTTTTCCCAGAGTGAAAACCCAAGGACCCCACACTCCAAATCCATAGACTCCAAAAATGATACAATCTTGCTTACCGGGTTCCAGAGACCTCCATGAAAGGTGAGGAAGCTTGCCTCCATTGGTAGGACTGGAAAAACCCTGGAAAAGGCCTTGGGAACCTTGAGAAGAGGAAATCTCAGGTGAAGTCTGGTAAGACTGTGACTTTGAAGCCTACATGGACTGGGTATTAAAAAGCTCACTCCAGGGCCTCCTCGGTGGCGCAGTGGTTGAGCGCTGGGTTGCGAAGCTGCCCGCAGCCTCTGCACCGCCTGTTCGATCCCTGGCCACCAGGCAAGGGTCCCACATGGCTCGCAGACCTCTCCTGCCGCCCGCTGCTCCCCTCAGCAGTGTACTTCCTTGTTCTGATCCCCGCTCTGGCTCTGGTGAATTCTCTCACCCTCCCGCACTTCTGACTGTACCCAGTGCTTGTATAAATAAATAAATAAATCTTTAAAAAAAAAAAAAAGTATGAGTTAACATTAAAAAAAAAAAAAAAAGCTCACTCCAGGCTGTGGCGTTTTCAGCAAAGCCAACAACATCTACTTGGTTATTTTGCACTATGAGTTTATGGAAATATAGGTAAAATTGTTTAAAATTTGATTTGATTTACTATTTGATTTACTATTTACAGAATTGGGATGAGGGTAGAGAAAAAAATTACATCTCAGTAACTCTATTAGTCTCTGGTCCTCTTTGGTGAGGGCTGTATCCTAAACGTCATCATCTTGAGAAAGGAAAAAAAATAATCCCTATTACATTTAGGACTATGATATGTTGTATACCTTATTACTGCCACAACTCCACGAAAGCCTTAACATCCTCTCAGGAGCTGTGCCAGCAAGTGCAGGCCTTCCATAGTAACGAGCCCTCCCCCAACCCCCCCTACCACAACCCTATTCAGGAAGCAGCCAGAAGATGCAATGCCCCTTTCTCCCTTAGAAATGGAAGATCATAACAGAGAGTGGGGATGATGATGCAGTTACCAATGACTGGTCCCTAAGAATTAGCAAGTTTAGCAGGTTTGTCTTTCCCCTATTCCCTGCAATTTCCCCTTGTTTGACAGGTTTGTCTTTAGGGCCCAGGCCTCTCAGGTGAGCATAACAAGTCCTCCTGCATTTCAAGAAAGAGGGAGTTAAACATCAGTTATTGAAGAAAAGCAAGCTGCACCCACCTTTCCTCTTGAAGACCCCTCCCACACCCCTTTGCAGACCCTAGTCCATTTCCTTTTTCTTTCCCCTTGTATAAATACCTCTGCACTCTGTCTAAGAGCATGACAGCTGTCTTTCAGACATGAGTCTGCTGCCCTCCTCATTTGTCGACAAATTAAACCACTTCCCTTTTCTTCAAACTCTGTTTCCTTTGATTGGCTGAGGGACACTGAGGCCTGCGTTCTGTATCACTGGTCCAGCTGATTAAATGGCCTGTCCCTCTCCAGGGGCAACTATAAACAGAGTCAAGGGAAATGAACAAGTGGGAACAGTAGAGTCCAGTCTTCTCAGTGCCTGAGAGAAGGGTTGCCAAGAAGGGAGCAGCGTGACCACAGGCCCATAGGCTGGGTCATGGGGATGAGGCACAAGTGAGCTTATGGAGCAGCCAGACCCCACAACCCAGGGAAGGAGGGAGACACTGGAATTTCCTTCTGGGGGCCCCAGCAGCAAGAACAGTGGCTAGGCAGCCATAACCCTGGCTGTGCCAAGATGAGCAGCAGGGCAGGGCACGGGCCTGTCTGCGGTTCCAGAGGCTCCCGTGTCAGAGGCAGGGGTGACCTCAGACCAGGGATGGGCAGCGGTTGGCACATTCTCCTCCCACTCTGGTGCCCTCCCCAGAGGAGACTGTTTAAGCACCTCCCTCCTCAGACATGTATCTGGGGCTCTGTAGGCCGGGGCTGCCAGTTAGAGCAGGTGCACAAGCTGGAACCCACTTGCCCTCCATCTGATGGTCTCACAGTGCCTTCTAACTCCTACATTTGATGTTTGACTTTTCAGGAAAATGTCCCTTTTTTCGGACTTAGTGACTGCTCACTCAAAGAAAAACAAAGTGCAAATTTCAGATCATAACTTCACAGATCCCTCCTCCCTAACCTGAAGCTGAGCAGGGTCCTCTGATGTCCTTGTTCATCCAAGTAAAGGGAAGAACTTCTGAGCCTCACCCTGTGTCAGGTCACCCAGCAGGACAGTGTCCTGGATTGTTTCACATTTAATTTTTTTTTATTTTTTAATGAGATAATGTTACGGGTCAGCCCCGATATAAAACAGGTTGCCTGGCTGTGGGTCCTCACCCGCGCACTTGAAAAGGACTTATTAATACTCCACTGCAGACACACACAAAAGGTTAATAAAAGGTTTATTTACAAGGGAAGGGGAAATGAGGAAATGTACAACTCAGGGAGAAAAAAGGGAGATAAAGTCTTAAATGCGTCCTACCCATTCCGCAGACCTGGAAACCCAATGGCACTCTGAGAGCTGGCGAAGAGCCAAGAGCCATGAAGCCAAAAAGCCCCCCCTCAAGACCCACATGTCTGGTTTTATACCAAACCTGGCTACTTAACTCCACCCTCAGGTTCCAGCAACCTTTCCTTTGGTGGTGATGGGATTTGTCTTTCCCAGTGTCCTGATGGCTTTGGTCTGGAGTGGGGTGGAGTCCACAAAGCCTGTATGGAATTAGCTTAGGACATCCTTTCCCCCTAACAATAACACTGGTTTTCACACCATATAAGAGTCTGTGCATAGGGTCACCCCTTTTTATATGTATGTTACCAACCACCCCCCCAACCAGGGCACCCACAATCCTATAGCTCCCTTCTATCTGAAACAGCCCACACTTAAAAATTTCATCCTGGTTTCACAGAATCTCTAGGAAAGGATTATCTCAGGTCACTGAAAACTAAGGTCAGAAGAGCAGGAACTTGGTTTCTCTCCATGCTGCTTCCCAGAGCTCCCTGATCCCCAGCTCTCAGCCCTGCAGGGAAGCATCACACAGACAGGCCTTGGCTGGGGCAGCTTCAGGTTGCAAGTGTGTTTTATTGAAGAAGCAGTGAGGAAGTTAACTGGGGGCCCCACACAAGCGTGTCTCACCCCCAAAGCCACATGGTACAAGCCTCAGGCAGGGATGCTGTTATGGGATGGCCAGGAGCCCAACTTGAGTTATTCCCATTGGAGCTCAGGAGAGTAGGGACCATGAGGATGAGAGGGGGTGGGGGTACATCTCTATCTGGCCTCAGATGAGACCTCTTCGGAGCCATCATAGTGGACGGGCAACAGCGGGTTCCCTTCACATGCAATGACGATGTGTCTCCTTTTGTTAATAGTGTTGTAATCGGAGGGCCCTTTTTCCCTGATACACTCTGTGATGCTCATTGGGGACCTGCTCTTGTGACAGTTGTTCTGCCCATTCTTGCAGGTGATATTTGGCTCGAGGCAGACAGCCTGGACAGCCTCCACGGGCTGGTGCACAAAGGTGTTGAACAGCTTCCCTGAAATATTTCTGTTCTCCATCTCCTTGTTGCAGTAGTTGGGGCTGAAGGGGCCGTTTCCGGGGTCCATGTGATCATTCTCAAACTTCGGCCAGGAAGGCCGGGCCCCCGCCAGCACCAGCAGCACCAGGACCATCAGTGAGAACAGGACAAGGGACTTCAGAGCCATGGTGGCTGCGCTCCCCTGGAAGCCCCACCTGGGAGAGGAGAGAGGAGGAAAAGCCACCCCTTAGGAGAAGGACCCCACTCCCCCCACTGGGCTCTGGGTTATAGGTGCCCCTTAGATAAGCAAGAAAATCATCCTTTTCCTGTGAGATTTGCCATGTAATCAGCCACTATTGTTCTCAAGAGCATTTTCTCCTGCTTGCTAGAGACACTCGATCCTCCCCTCTGTGGGTGAGCGCCAAAGTGACCAAACCCTGGCAGTCCTGTCTGTGACTACTCAGCTGTTTTGATGTCAAATACATGTGTACCCCATGCTCAACCACCTCCTTACAGGATCCTTTCGCATAAACCATGAACTGCCCTGACACTCAGGGTCAGGCTGACAGACCCTGCTGTCCTCCAGCTCAAGGAGACTCAGCCCAGAGCCTGAAAGCAGAATTTGTTGTGTTCTTTAGAGATATGCTTTCCTCTCCTAACTAAGGGCTGCTCTTCCCCCAGCCCCACAGGGTCTCTTTGCAGCAAGCAAGCTCTAGACCCTGCCCCTGGCTGTGCCTGGCCCAAGCTGTCTCAGTGCTGGCCTCTCCCCTCCTGCTCCTGCCTCTCCACACTCAAGTAGAAGCAGGTCCAGAGTCCACCTGGTGGACACTCACCTAGTTTGGTCACCAGGAGAGAACAGAGTCCAGTTTCTTCAATTCTGGTGTCTCTGGGATTCAGATCTTATGGAGACTACAAGGGGCGTGGCTTCTGAGAAGAGTGGGAGGAGCATCTGAGGTTCATTCCAAGGAAGAGGAGGACAATGCCAGAAGTTGGGAGTTTGTCCAGGCTTCCCTCTGCTGGGAGGGGCCTCTCTCCCACATAGATCATCTGTTTGCTGGCTCTCCAGGAGGAACAGGAAGTTCATACAGCACTGATGTCTGAACTCTAATCTAGTCCTGGTTTTCTTTTGGTGACCATTTTCAAGTAATATTCCTTGGAGTTAACAAAGGGCATGTAACTTGTGATCTCAGGGGAATGAGGGATGGAAGTCTCTCTCTGCTTGGACTGGAATCCTGAACAGCTTGGACTGGAATCCTCATCTCCCCGTAGTAGTTTTCCTGGAGACAGAGGGGAAAGAGAGGTGTCCAGCTGTGCCCATATAGAAAACTTCCCCATTCTGGAGAAACAGGGAGGAGTGCCTGAACCAGGAAGAGAAGGAAGCCTCTGTTTTTGCAATGGGCCTCCCCAGTCCTGGCCACTTCCTGCCCACTCTTCACCCCCAATACAGAAGGTTGGAAATTTTTGTTGGCAGTTTTACTACAGTGACTACTACTGTAGTTTTACTACAGTTTTGCTACAGGGCAAAGTAGAGGAAATAAAATAAACTCTAAATCCCTTTTGGAGAAAAAATAGAGAGCATCTGATTTCTTCCATCCTAGACAGAGAATTATTTGTTTTAGTTTGATGTTTTTTACTGAGTGACAATTTAAATAACTCAGACATAAATACAAAAAAAAAATATTTTCTGGGGCCTCCCCGGTGGCGCAGCGGTTGAGCGCTGGGCTGCTAAGCTGCCCCCGACCCCTGCGGCACCGGTTTGATCCCCGGCTGCTCCCCGGCCACCAGAGGAGGGTCCCACATGGCGCGCAGACCTCTCCTGCCGCCCGCTGCTCCCCTCAGCAGTGTACTTCGGTCCTTCTGCCTGCTCTGCTCCCCGCTCTGGCTCTGGTGAATTCTCTCACCCTCCTGCACTTCTGACTGTACCCAGTGCATGTATAAACGAAAGGAAGGAAGGAAGGAAGGAAGGAAGGAAGGAAGGAAGGAAGGAAGGAAGGAAGGAAGGAAGGAAGGAAGGAAGGAAGGAAGAAGGAAGGAAGGAAGGAAGGAAGGAAGAAGGAAGGAAGGAAGGAAGGAAGGAAGGAAGGAAGGAAGGAAGGAAGGAAGGAAGGAAGGAAGGAAGGAAGAAAACATGCCTCTATTAAAAAAAAAAATCCACATATAAGTGAAATCATGCATATTTAAAAAAAATATTTTCTGTTCTCTGGATTTAGACAGTCTCAGTCCAATTTCTGATGTGGCACCTTAAGAGCAGGGCAAATTATATAATTTAATTTCCCTCTTCTTCAGTTGCTTCATCTCTAAGAATCGAATGTTCGTATGACCCTCGTAGATTTTTTTTACTAGGAGAAAATAAAGCAGACACAAATGCTTAGAGCAGTGCCTAAAGCATCAATGTATGTAACTAGTGAATGTTAATTTGTGGGTGGTGGAAAAATTCCCTAAGAAGTGGGCTAAACAACAGTGGACTGAGCCTTCTGAGATGCTGCCTACACAGGGGCAGTCTAGGGACATCACACTTGCTTTGCTCAAAACCTGAGCTGTAATTAGTTTTTGAAGCTCTGGGAAGAGAAGAGAGAAATGCTGGGGAAAAGAATGCTTTAAATGGATTTTTTTATTATTTTGAGACGATAGCCTAGAAATCTGTAAAGTCAACATTATTTTCTTATATGCACGGATTTGGATATGGATGTGGGGCCAGGAAAGACCTGGTGGGATGAATTTTAGTTTCATGCTCCTTGTCTCCCCCACAACCCCAGCATCTACTCAGGTTTTGTCTGTTTTTAGTCTTCAGTAGTATTCACATCTTTTTGTTTTTGTTTCTGTTGTTACAGATAGTTCTGTTACAGGGCAACCCTGCTCTAAAACGGTTGCCTGACTGTGGGTCCTCACTTGCGCACTTAAAAGGGACTTACACTGCAGGCACACACAAAAGATTAACAAAAGGTTTATTTAACAGGGAAAGGGAATGAGGAAATGTACAACTCAGGGAGAAAAGAGGAGATAAAGTCTTAAATGTGTCCTATCCTTTCCGCTGACCTGGAATCCCAAATGACCTGCTGAGACTAAACCTGCCTGGCCAAGAGCATGAGCCAAGTGTCTGAGACCCCATTATCATGGCTGGTTTTTATTTACAAGCAGAGAAAATGGCTGCTTAACTCTGCCCTTAGGTCCTCGCAACTTCCCTTTGGGGGTCATGGGATTTGTAATTCCCAGTGTCTTGATGGAGTGGGGGTGGCATCCACAAAGCCTGTATGGAGTTGCTCAGGATGTATTTCCAAGTGTTTATTTCCAAGTGTTTTACTTCAGGAAGGTGAACCACTGTGCAGTGTTGGGAGCTTGCTGCCCTAAAGAGACCTGAAGTTTTTGGAGAATACCTGTTTGCTCTACACATGGAGTTCTAGAATGTTACAAATTCTGCAAACAGAACTTCCCATAATTGACTCCTGTTCTCTGAGGAAGTGCTGGCTGTGCACATGTTCCCTACTAGCCAAGAAAACTTGTTTCAGCAGTAATTTGTGAATCTGTAAAAGCAAAAACACAATTGCATGCTATTTTCATGTTGCTTTGTTCATATCTTTCATAAAAACTTGGGCTGGGAGAGTGAGAGGCAGAGCTGCTCTCAACAGCACACTCCCCAGCCTCCCCCTGCTGCAAATTCATTTAGACTCTGAGTCATCGTTAATGGCAGAGAACTTCATGGGCTGTCCTGTCCACAGCAGTGCAGTTTTCAGTTCTCTCTTCTATTTTGGATACAAGCAACTTCCTCTGCAACATAGAAAGAGAGGTGTTGTTAACCAAATTTTCTAGAAGTAGATACAAATCATCTGTTTTGTTAACACTGTCACCCTTTGACTCCTTCCAGAGTTGACTGGGGTCCTTTTTACCTTGTTTCCATTAGACCTATTTTTAATAGCATTTCTGCACTTTTCCACACCCTCCAAGTAAAGAGGAAGGAATAGCTTCATGCCATTCTGCAGAATTTATCTGGATCTTCAGCGGAAGTGCTAGTGAAGGGAGATCCCCCGCCGGGGCCAGCGAGGGGCTTTCCATCAGAACAATTTCCTTTGGCCCTCTGGTGATATTAGGTGCATCCTTGTTTGTCTCTCCCGGGAATAAACTCAGTATCTGTTTCATCAAATATAGGGTCTTGTTTAAAAGTTCTGGAGGGTGGAAACTCCAAACTCATGCTACCAGCAGCTGGGTCTGGCAAGGGCACATTTCCCAGTCATAGACAGCCTCTCCTCATGGGGTCCTCACGTTGCAGAGGGCTGGTTTCCTTTCTTTTTCTGGTGTTGGCAGAACACCTTCCTACCACTTTGGTATCTGTTCAGGGATTTGTGATTTAACTAACAAATGACAAATTAATGGAAAATAGATCAAGTTATTCTTATACATACGGAGAGCACGTACACACAAAAAATGGTTCCCTGAAAGGGTAAAGATAAGGATTTATATACCAGCTTAACAGAGATTGGAAGTGCAAGAATAGGAACTCTGTAAGATGCAAATGTGTGTTTTTATTTCTCTGGAAAGTTAAATGAGCTCTTAGGGGAAGAAATGGGAGGTAAGATAGTTGTGAGGTTGATTCACAGGGATGAGTGATATGACTTCTTCTTGGCCATAAAACTTCCCCCAAGAAGAGATTTACAGCAGTTTTGCCCTCAAAGACATTTCTTCTATTCAGATAAGGGGAAGCTGTAAAAAAGCTTCTTTGCTGGGCCTCCCCTGTGGGACAGCGGTTGAGCGCTGGGTTGTGAAGCTGCCCCAGCCTCTGCAGCACCGGTTCGATCCCCAGCCACCGGGGCGAGGGTCCCACATGGCGCGCAGACCTCTCCTGCTGCCCACTGCACCCCTCAGCAGTGTACTTCATGAGTCTGCCTGCTCTGCTCGCCCCTCTGGCTCTGGTGAATTCTCTCACCCTCCCTCGCTTCTGTCTGTACCCAGTGTTTGTGCAAATAAATAAATAAATCTTTAAAAAATATATATAGCTTCTTTGCTGAATCTTAATGGCTTCAATTTAATATAATTTTTATATCAACTTAGGGACCCAACTAAGTAAGTCCTCACAGAGGTCAGTTTCTAATTTGTCCATTACTCACTAAAGAGTGGGTACACAGAGATAACTAAGGCTCAGGGCCTTCCCTCAGGTGCCTGGGGGCACAGGTTGTCAGTCAGGCCAGTACGAACCAGGTGCTGGGTATGGCTGCAGGAAAGAAATCATTCTTTTGGCAACTTTGTAGTGAGAAACAAATTTCAGACATTGGTCCAGCAAGATAGCAGACTCATGGTTCAGGTATGAACAGGCCTGTGTGACTCAGAGAAGGTATTTCAACATCGTCCTTCCCAGGGCATCCCTCACTATATGCAGGCATTGTGCCTGTATGTGGCCAATCTTTGGGATTTTAATCCACCTACAGGGGAGCCATCAAACCTCATGCATATTAGCCTGGCCCTTGAGTCCATTGCAGAGGCACATCCCCCCTTGTTTCAGCGTAATAGAGTCTGTGGAACTTGCTGATGCTTCTGCTGAACTAAGTCTAGGCTCCAAGTGGAGTTCATGCTACATCCTGTCTAAGACACTACTCCTAACTGCAAACAGATACATTCAGCACCGACTAGCCCCTTAGGGTGTTCTGCCTCTCTCCCTCTCACATACTACTCACTTGCCCTCTCCTGGTCCTCCTGGAGGGAAGGGAGCCTCATGATCACCATATCTCAGGCAGAGAACTCTTCCTCACTCAGATTTATTAGATTCCTAATGAGAAACCTAATCAATGTTACTTATAGATAGTATAACCATATGACCAAGGGGTACCCCAAACTGCTAGTGGGTGTGCGTTCTAAGGCTTCTGACCATCTGCGCGGACAAAAGCAAGCAAAACATATCTTAGTGTGAAATATCTTTAATAAATTTGCTGTACATAGAGACAAATAATAAAACTAATAAAGACTAATAAAACTCCAAGTGTTACCCATCCGTTAATGGATATTGCCCAGCCAAACAGTGCTTGACTCAAAGGAACACAGTTGAGGCCTAAAAGCATGTCAAAAATCGTCATGGTGGCAGGATAATGGGTATGATCTGAATTTCTTCATGAAATCCCC